GGTTTAGTGTAAAATGTGCTGGCTGACTGCCATGGGAAGCAAAAAGCTTGTAATTTCAATTACATGGTATTTCAAATAGAACAGGCCCTAATGTGGAAGGTGGGGATTAGAGGTGGCAGCTGATATTGCAGCAGAGCTCTGAGAAGGCTTATTATTTTTACGGTGTCAAAACCCTGTGTTGACTAGCTCACCTTATGTCCTTGAACAGACTATGGAAGCTGAAAGATAAAACATTTGGTAAACTCTGTACAGAAAGTACATATTGTGTGCAGAATCTTCAAACAAAATATTGCACAAAAAGTTCCACTGCATGCAGAGTACCTGTACTTGCCAGCTGCTGGGCCAGAGTGGAAGGGACATTTGCAAACAACTTCTTCAATAAAGAGGGGTTCTTTTTGTATTTGGAGGGATCTCTGTCAAATATGTCTGTTAAAGATATTCAAGCTATTCAGCAAAGAAATGGTAGGTTATGCATAGAAAGCTAAGCACAGTTGTATTCTTTCCAGTTTTACCTCCTGAAGTTAGTCATAAAATTTTCACATGATTAGAAAAACTATGTAGAAGAAAAAGTACAATAAAAACGCTTTAGATATACTTACAGCTTGGCAGGAACTAATTAATTGGGTTTACCTCCTTTTCCTCATGTCATTGTGATCATACAATTCAGACAGTCTTTAAAAATGAAGAAGCATTTTCTCTTCTGAGGTGGTGACCTCCTTAATTGCATTTCTGTTCCATTGTGGCATTCCCAGTAAGTTATTTTCCAGAAGTTCAGGAAATCAGTGATGAGAGGGATTATCTTTGGCCATATTGTTTGGAATTTTTTATTTTAGCAGTAATTTGGCTAAGGGATCAAGGAAGAAAAAAAGCATTAATGAATGTATGGTATGTGAAGAAATTATGATGATATATAAAGAAAGACACATAAGAACTGGACACATAGTTGACCTTAAAAGTTGACAAATATAACCCAAGGGCTTTGTTTCAACATATTTCTGGTGCAGAGAGACAGTGCCTCACCTTCAAAGTTTGAAGGTGATGAACAGGGCCCAGAGTTGTTTCTACAAGTTAGAAAGACAATTAATGTCTTTCAGGGGCATCCTCATACTTAGGTCTTGTTAATCTTGTTAATGTAAATAGGCCATTTATAAATTTCGTGCTGATATTTATAAAGCTTAATAAATAAGCCAGGGCAATGGTAGATTGGAAGATACTGGGATGATTGGGAGGACTCCTGTGCACATACTTCATATGTACATGCTGTATTTTTCAACTACTTTCAGTCTGCTGTCATTATGATTCAAGTCTAAGTTAACTGATATTGGCGTTTTATCTCTGCAGTTCCTGGCCAGGAGACAAAGGATAGGTTTTGGTGAAGTAGAATAAGAATGTTTAAATAATGGCTTGCAAGCCTGAATCTCTTTCTTAAGTGACATATCTGAACTGTTGTGCATCCAGTGGAGAGAAGGGGCACCAGGGAATTTCGCTAGAGCTGTACGAATTCATTTATCCTTGCATTTAAACTCACATGCTTCCAGAGCCTTCTTGATAACATCCCCTGCTTTCAGCTGTGTTTATCTTTTAGGAATAAGGCTGTTTCATAAATTGTGTGCTGGGGACACCGAGGACCTCTGTTTTATGCATTATTCATCTAGATGAGCTCATAGTCTAAAATGTTAAAAAGTATGTTTCTATGTTAAGTGTTATTTAAAAATATATTAAAAAAATTACCTGAGCCTACCTCCAAAAATGTTTCTTATAGCTCTGAAGTATCTAGCTTCAAAGAAAGAACAAAAAATGGTTACAGTACAGTTTTAATGTCTTAATAAACTCTTGTACCGTTTTTTCCCCAGATCAATAATATTTTCTATCAAATAAGAGCATTTAATTTAAGGTACTATTATAAGCACATAATTTATCATGAGATGAAATTGATAAATATCTCATCTTCCGTAACTACTATGGCAGTACTGTTTTGGTCTTTTGTGAAGATATTTGCCTGACAAACTGTCATCAGCTTATGATGTTACATAAAACAGAAAAATGCACAGGAGGAGTTACAAAACTTGGGGGAAAAATTCATCGAAAGTTATCTCATTAGTTTCACAGGGTGTTGGAACTATGTGTCTGAAATATAACAGTATGTAATGATAGAGACTGAATATATGGAAAAGTACTTGTTTTGAATCACAAGATTAATATTTATTCTTTGAAAGAGTGTATACGTCTATGCAACATCCAGAACTGAAAACAAACTTGTATGATGTGTATCTGCCTTTGTGTGCCTGTATATGCTTATACTCAGGCATATCTATATGTCTTATACCAACTTATATGAGATTTAAAAACCTGTCTTGAAACATACAAAGGTATTGCAGACATTTGATGAACTTTGTGATTTAATTTAAGGATTACTCATGTGGTTATAAGTGTCTAAAGCACTATCATGATGACTACCATTAGGGAATCATTTTTCTCCATTTATATTAGATTCTACTAAGACAGTAGAGAGCTTCCTTTTCTCTATGTCTCTTACATGGCTACTGTGCATAAAGGAAAGAAGTACAGTAGAGGAAAACGCAAAATGTAAGAAAAACTAGCAAAGGTTTGTAGAAGAGAAAGATAACTCCATTTCATTTCCAGAAACATTTCCAGGACATGGAAAATGAAACCTTCTCATCAGGCTAACCTTTGGAAGTTTGTGTTTTAAGGAGGTTACGGAGTTATGAAAGAAGATAATAATTTGCTATCATAAGCTTGAATAGTCCAATTTAAGACTATTAGAAGAGCAGTTTGGTCTTCCAGTATTGTCATAGACCACTGGCTAGTTTTTATTTCATATTTCATCAGAGTTGTATTTATGAATGAAATTGTATATTCAAATTAATCCTTATAACCTTGGGGTTTTTTTTTCCTCATAGACATTATTGAGGTCCTCCTTTTTTTTCCCAGATGTGAAAATATGCCCTATCAAGTGTATATAAAAATGTCCTTTTTCCACCATAAAATTCTGGGAGCAGAGTATATCTAAACACAGATCAAAAATTAAAATATTGGAGTTCTCTGACAAACTCTATTTCCCTTCCCATTTCTTATTTAGTTTTGTTTATTACAGGGGAATTGATCACAGAATAAAATATTCTTCCATTTAGAGATAGATATTGGGTAAATAATATCCATTTAAAATAAGCATTTAGGAATGTGAGTAATTTAATAGAGACTAATATTCTGTAGCGACCTCAACAATCCAGATTATGATTTGGATGAAGAATTTACAATGAAGACCAGAGTGAAAAATGCTCCAAATCTCTTGGGGGAACACGTGAATCAGGTTAAATGATATGTTGGAAATAAATATGTTTGAAGATCAGCTCACTTCTGAGTAATTTACTGTTTTATTCAACTATTCCTGTGTATTTTCCTGGGATTAAATGTGGATAACTTTAACCAGAGTGGAACTAGTATAAAAAACAAATAGCAAATAAAAAAAATATTCTAAAAACGTTATAAGTTAGCAACAACAGAATTATCTGCATCTTCAAACTATTTTATGTGCTGGTAAATATGACTGGGCTTTTTTGCATAAGCATGAACAGCATTGCAGTACAGGTATTGCTTTATAAGTATGAATCTGTGTTAACATTTTTTTAAAGATGCATGATTCACAATGATCAGTGTTTATTTGTAACAGATTAAAATGATATATCCCATATAACATTGTACTTCTGGAGAATTATGCTTGCTTTTCTAACAGGGAAGGCAGTTACAGGTTTTTATTTAGTATTTATGGTTAAAGCAACTCTTTTTATGAATAGATATCAAACCTATATTTTAATGTTCATCCTTTGAACTGTGGTACACTTTTCCCTATGACATGACAGTGCAGCCGGAAAAGTACCATCACACACTGCAGCAATCTGCAGCAGCCCATGTGTCAGCTGGTGATGCAGCTCCTGCCTGACAGATTGTGGAGTTGTGGATCCCTGTGAATGGGGCCAACCAGTTTGGGTCTCCCTCCTCTGATCAATCATTCTTCTCCCTGAAATTACTTCAGCTTAATGTCCTTGAAACTATGGCCTCTCTCTAAATTTGCTTGACATTTATCAAAAGATTTAAAAATTAATAAGAGGTGAATAACAATGAGATAATTGCATAAGCCTTGTTTCTATAGGAAACCTGGGAAATAAAAAAAAAAACCCTAGACTGCAGATGAAATGTTTTGGTGAGGTAAAAATGCAAAATTTATTTCAGATAGGCTGTTAAGAATGATTTAATTAATGTTTTTGTTTGTTGTTTTTATGACCAAGGCTTGCACACTTGGTCATATATTTTATTGTCTTTCGAATACACATTAAAAAAAAATTATGAAGTTTACCTCATAGTATATTTAACAATAATCTCTTGAAACCATATTGAGCAGATTTCAGAAAATGCCAATAATTTTGAATACTGTGGCGTTCAGTAATGAAGAGACTGAGGAGATGGTCTGTTTGCTGGCAACCCTTTCAAATTACTGTGTTGCCCTGATGATTTAGTTGCCTTTCCTGAAAGGAATACTTCTTGCAGTGATAAAACAGTACTGGCACTTTTGATTAGGAAATTCTATGATATTCCCAGAAATGCTGCTTTGAAGAGATACTGTGCCTAATGTTATGGTAATTTAGAGTAAGTGCAACCCCCACTAAGTAACTGGAACTGCTCAGAAGGTAAATCATTGAGGAATTTGTCCTGTTCCAATGTCCAAACATGGAGCAAGAGCTTGTGTGAAGGTGTATATCTGAGTTCCTTTAGACCTGCTGCTTTTATCTAATGCCTGCTATTTATTTTATTTAAGGTAAGACGTGATATTTTGTAGTGTTTTGCATAAAATTTTATATTTATATTCTACATAAAAAGCACCAGATTTACAATTCTAAATGAGAACACCACTCTTTTTATTGTTTCATATATAGATATGAAACTAGATTAAAAGTATTCCCTTTTCTTTTTATCTGTGTAAGTCTCAAACAGTTTGGACCTTGGACACTGTGGGTGTCAGACCTGGAGGTTCCCCAAGACAGAAACTCCTAAAGGACTCCTTAGCAGCAAAAGAACTTCAGACCATGGAAAAACACCTAGCTGGTATGTATGGTAGCAAGGGATCATAAAATGCCTAACAGCACTTAATGAGCTTTCTCTGCCAAGATTTTAGATGGAGTAAAAGATTATCTATCTCACATGCTGATGAAAACAGACGAAAACTTAAACTTCCCTTTCTTTCATTGAATAAAAACAACAAAATTATTGTTTTATTTGTAGATGTAATGAACTTCACTGTAGTTACAGCAAGTACAGTACTTAAACAGTAATTAAACTGTGTTAAATTAAATAAACAGTTAAATACACTGTCAGACCACAGCATAATAATGCTCCCTTTTTTTTGTTTTCATGTTTCACTAAGACTTCTGCAGTAAGGAGGTACCAATGCTTTATCTTCTGTTAAGCAGTCTTTAAAAACAGGCTGCAGTGAACGTTTTGCTTGAGAATAGATTGCTTTGCAGGAAAAACTCACCTTGTTCATGAGACTTCTGGTAAAGTGAAGTCTGTTAATTTTTGTGCTGTGGAACATCTGCAACATCTTTGAGGGGGTAACCATTTCTGAAAAGTCAAACAAAAAAGTGTGGTTTTTTCGGCAAAAAATATGTTTCAAAGCTTTATAAAGGTTAATGAGGGATATCCTAAAAGGTATTTGTTCCTCTTTGTAATCAATATTTTCTATCTTCAGCTTTCATTATAATGTATTACATAGACCTATAGCATGGTAGTCCTATATTATGCATGCTATTTGTCATATGGTGAAAGCTTCATGGCCAATTCTATGAAAAGTAATGCCGAACCAGTACATAAAGACTGTATATGTAAAATGACGGTAGAAATGAAATCTATCTGATCCCTCTTTGAAGACATTCAGAGAGTGAAGCAGAGAACTTTACACTTTCAGTGTGATTTTCTAAAAGACTTTGTATATGTATCTTGCCAATAACACTGTGTGAAAGGCTTAGGAGTTGTATCTTCTTTTGAAAGAGATACAGCTCTTGTACTTCTTCTACCTAGGGGCTGTTACAGCTGAAGTCAAGGCAGAAGACAAAGCTGTAAGCACAGTGAGGAAAGCTCTTTAGAAAAAGGTTTGGCTCATAATGGGGCAAGAACTAAAAATAACGATATATAAAAATGAAGCTGTTTTAGGTGGGTTTTGTGCCTGACAACAGAGATGCTGTCATTCAGATTTTTTTTGGCAGGTTCAAAAAGCCTACGGCTATTAGAGCTGCAGCCACTGCCAAACTAGACTGAAAAATCCATGAGCCATCTCTCTAAGCTGAAACTGCCAGGAACATCTAGTGGGAACCAGGAGACCAGCAAACCAATCTGTGGTCATCAGGTTTTTGTATCATAGCAGGGACCTGAATATTCCAGGGGCCTCTGCTACTGAGGTAGCACCTGTCTTCCCTTATGTTGCTATAGTTATCACTCCGGAAGGGGTCAGGTGAAGATCTCCCTACTTCAGTTTACGTCCTAACTAGTCTCACTTCCATGGTCATACAGACTGTTCTTGTATGCAGTATGCTGTGAAACATGGAGTTTCTTTAGATTTCCCTTGGCAAAGCTGACAATAATAACTACAATATTCAATAAAATATGGAATTTTAAATACTTAATTGATTGTAAAATAACTAGCTACATTCACAAAGGCTCTGAGATTCATTCTGCTGTTGTGTGACCTACAAGGTCTTCTCTCTCACATCAATGCTATTCCTGTTATTTGACTTTGGGCCTGTTATTTCAGTAATGCTGTAACATGAGGATCAGTTATTCTACCATTCAGTAATTTTTGTCTGACTGAGAACTTCACTTGAAAATAGCCCAATTATTAGACACTGGGCTATTGTATTCTAATAATTCATGTCTATTATAACACCAGTGCTGCTTGAGAAAATTATTCCCCTCACACACAAGCATAACATGATTTCCATGAAGAATCAGTTTGGAGTACCTCAGATAATAATGCTGCAGTTTTGCTTAGCCTTATTTGTCTTACAGATTTGCAAGAGTTCAGATGTCTGTGATATCAGCAAGTCTCCTTGTTTCACTTCTCTTACCAAGCGCACTGGAACCCATTAATTCTGTGAAATGATTGCTTATCTAGACAGTCATTTCAGTGCCTGAGTTATGACTTGGATTACCTGTGTAATGATGAAATATGGTCCTGTCTCAAATATACCTTCTTAAGGGGCCTGTTTTTCCCTTATGGACTATGTGCTGGATAAAACTCACTCCTAACAAAAGGCACACTTTGGTGCCTGTGCCTAAATTAGGGACTAATACTGATTGCCAGCAATTGCCTCAGTACCTTGATATTTGAAAACAGCATTTTTACAAAATCAGATGTTGAAGCAATCAGTTTTCTTTTCCTTCTCTGCATATGGCTCATAACTTTTCTGCCTAAGCTCCAGTCTCTTATGTTACTGTGGCTACTTTATATCACATGCAAGTGGAGAATATTTTTTTTGGTAGTTGATTCCAATATTTTGCCAATTTGGTTTGTTACACTGATTCTGTGGTCTTGGATACTTCTGGAATATATTTTATCACAAGAAGAACTGTTAAATAATAAACAGTTTTCAAGTACATATGAATGATATCCTTATTCTGTCATATTTTTTATGAAAACAAAATGACTTTGTGTTGCTCTGTTGCCTGTATTTTATTTTTTTAAATGATATCAACAAGCATTTAAAAAAATTCTAAGTCATAATTCAATTCTGTTATTTAATATGGATCTGATAATACTGTAAAGCTAGGGATGTGTGTTTTTTTTTCTTTCTGGTTGAAAGGCTTATATTAAAGCAAAATCAAACAGAGGATGTGTAAATAAAACTGAATAATTATGCTATAGAAACATGTTAATTATATGTAGAGAAATGATTAGAATAATTGGTTTATCTGCAGGCTTGATTGCTACATGAAATTAAGGAAACATGGGCCAGAATATAATGTTTATTTAACTCTCATTAGATCATTCAGTATTCAAGTAATCTCTTCCCTGAATCACCACAGGGAAGTTAGAGGTCTGTAATTTTGCAAAGAAATAAGCTAAGCTGAGTCGTTAAAAGAACGTATTCTTCATTTGGTTTAAATCAAGTAGTTCGCAATATCATTTATTTGCCCCTGAATTTTTGACAGGCATCTTACAAGTTCTGCACCAAAATAGGAGTGGCCAGCAGGTCAAGGGAGGTGATTCTTCCCCTCTACTCCACCTTCATGAGACCCCACCTGGAGTGTTGCATTGAGCTCGGGGGCCCCCAACATAAGAAGGAGGAGGACCTGTTTGTGTGGGTCCAGAGAAGGACCATGAAGATGATCAGAAGGTTGGAGCATCCCACCTGTGAAGACAGGCTGAGACGGTTGGAGTTGTTCAGAAGAGAAGGCTTTGGGTAGACCTGAGAGCAGCCTTCCAGTACTCTAAGGGGCCTGCAAGATTGCTGCAGAGGGACTTTTTATGAGTGCATGTAGTGGTAGGACAAGGAGGAAAGGTTTTAAATTAAAAGAGCAGAGATTTAGATTTGTGGATGTCCTGTCCCTGACAGTGTTCAAGGCCAGGTGTGATGGGGCCCTGAGCAACATGACCTAGTGGAAGGTGTCCCTGCCCATAACCAGGGTGTTCGGAACTAGATGACCTTAAAGATTTATTTCAGCCCAATCCATTCTATGATTTTATGAAGTTCCAAAGTTGAGAGCATAATGGAAGAGTATTTCAAGATGTAATAATTTCAAAATGGAAATAATTAATTTTAAGGTGTCAGCAAGGAATCAGTTAGAAATATTCTTAACTGTGTCCTAGAAACAATAACTTTGTTTTGAAATTTGCTAACAGCTAAACATTTTATCTTTTAGAAGTTGAGAGACACTTTTATCTGAGGATTTCACAATTATTGCAGTTTTACTAGCTTTTCTATTAATAGCATTTGAATTGTGTGGAATATGTTGTATTAGGCTAGTAACATGAAATTGGCATAGCTTATTTTCCTGTTTTCAAGGTATTATTATAATATAAGCTAATGTTTCAGGCAGGACATCTTTAATTATTTAACATTCAGCATTCCTTTTATACCTACTGGTAAACATGTGAAAGAAAATCTTATTTTCCAATATGTGGTTTAGAATCTGTTTCTTTTAGGACTTTTAGAACCTAAAAGAATTATTTTAGAAATAATTGTTATCAAAATAAAAAATTAAATGCTTAATTTATATGAGCTCACTTAATAGGTGTTTAAATCAGTACAGCCCTTCTGATTTACAGCTTCTGGGACTGTGACTTGTGCAATTTAATGGGAAATGATGTTGCTATTCTAAAGATAATCAACTGTTTCTATGAAAACCAAGGTACAGTAGAGTACATGCCAATGAAAGTGAAAATTAATAACAGTAGTGTAAGATAAAATAAATTTGATTAAACTGTTTCTTGAGCTCTACATTTCTACTTGCAAGGACTTTTAGTATGTTAGCAATGCCACCCTTACCTGACTTTGGTGGATATATATTATTTAATTCATTAGAAGCATTAATATTATTTAAATTAATTCAGGAAACACTTTTCATCACCACCCCTGATCTGTTATGGTTTTAAATAAGATCTTATTTTTTATGGCTGTGAGAGAGGTAGGGATTGGACCACCAAATGGCAGTCACCTTTTCTCCTTGGATTCTAGATGTTGGTGACACCATTACCTGCTGTGCCATTGACTGTAGGCCAGAACGCAAAATTCTGGTTCAAACAGGATCACAGATCCAGATGAGCAAAAGCTCAAGGGTTATTTCCCCCAGAGTTTTGGTTGGGCAGTAGACAGCAAGGCCAGAAGATAAAGTTTTGCCTTGAACCAGTTTTGGATTGCGCTTTACTTCAGGTGAGGATGGCAAGTTTATGTCACTGTTCCATCTTGACTTGATACTAATCTTGGGAAAAGGCACAGAGAGATAACAAGAGGGATTTTTATAGGTTGTATTGACGTTCAATGAAGAGGTAATGTTTCAATTCTGTGGGATAGCTGTGTCTGCAGTAAATAAACTTTAGGGAAATGCTTGCCAAAAACATGTGAACTGTTAATTCTGATGCCTTTTATTTTAAACATGAATAGATTTTCTCCTCACAGCTTCCGATTGTCACTTATGTTGGAGAAAATCATTAAGAGTTTTAAACTAGAGAGGAATAGACGGTGAGTTTCTTTTCTTTCTGTTTTGTTTTTGTTTGTGTGTGTGTAGACATTGAGAAGGACCTAGCATTATGGGAAGAAGCAAGGCTCTCAAGAAGCCCTGGTGTCCAGCATCACAGTGTAGTTACATCTGACAATCAAGGCAGTCTTCAGGCTTCACAGGGCCAAACCCCAAGGCCTCAGGTGCCAACTCCGACAGGGAAGAACATTCAGCTTCAAGGAAACAAATCACCACCACTGCCCACCAACAGCAGAACACAGGTCTCCGGTGTTGCAAACAGTAGACCTTCCACACCTGGTGCAAAAACCAACAGGCCATCAACTCCAGGGAGCAGACCTGTGACTCCAAATAGCTTGTTGTCTCGGCCTCTTGCCCCTAGCCACCAAGGAAATAGGGAAAGCATCATTAGTATACAAAGAAGCAGATCTTTGACATCTAAGAGCCAAATGGGGAGGACCCTCAGTGCTGCTTCAGGGCTCTCTGTGCAAGTGAGTGGAGACGTTGTTGGAACTGTCACTACTCAGAGAAACAGTTTATCAGAAGTAAGATTTTCAATTTAATGTCTTGGCTATGTTTAATAGCATGAATATGAGATTGCATTTTATGTTCAAATAATATCGGTATACCTAATGTAACCTACTGTGCTGAAAAGAACTTGAAATATAATGATGAGAAAATTAGCAAGGAAATACTGCTCAGCTTTGAGAGGTACTGATTAGAGAATGTCAGTATTATTAGAGAAATCATACTGAAACACTTGTGCTCCCCAAATTTACCATGAGCTGTGTAGGGTTTTGCCTCTATGATGCATACCAGTTTTGTTAGCCTTACAGTTTCTAAGAGGTGTGTACCTCTGGAATATTAAACACAACTTTATCTGCGTACCTCTGGAATATTAAACACAACTTTATCTTATCTTTATGTTCCAGGGTATCTTTTTCCTGCCACACTGGCAGTGCATGATATTGCCTTGGTCTAATTTTTATTTCATTTTTTGGACACATTGAAATGATTAGTTAGGCATCACTCAATGGACAGATTTTTCCAAAGCACCAAACTGAATTGCAAGAGAAATGTAACATTCTTGAATCACTGTCTAGTACTATGTGCATTAACAGCTGATTTACAGTATAAAAATTTCCATTCTATATTATTTGCTTTTACAGGATTAATCTTTGTTTAAAGCAGAACAGAACAAAAAATTAAAGTACCTTGTAAATACTGAGTAGGATTCTCCTCTGCTAACCTTAGCTGCCTTAAAGATAACTTCAGTGTGTAGGCAGTGGAAATAAAAGCACCTGTGAAAGAATAGCCCTGCTGTCTATCTCAGATACATGCCTTACAAAGGTGAGTCTTTTCTCAGGATATGCTGGTCCTTCTATACTGACTTGAGAAGGAACTATATGTCTAGATTGGTAATTTTTAAATGGTGGGATATGTTGGTTTCCACCATTATTATCAATCTCTTTGTAACCCATTTGTCAAACCCTGGAGACCTTTTTTCAAAGTCTGAAAATAATATCATACCTTTAGAGAATTGTTTCTGTGAAGTATCATCTGTTTTAATAATCTGTTGGGTATGACATTTGACACAATGTATTATTAGTCTAATGACTTCTAAGGAAAATTTAAAATCTTGTTTATAATAATGTTGCTTAGAGATGCTTGTAGGAAAGTTAGAGGTTTGATACTTAATGTAATCCTGCAGTTAATTATATGGCCTTCATTATTTGTTGTGAGAAAAAGGAAATAAGGCACAGATTAACCAAAAACTAAAGAATTTGGGGAGGGAATCATACTTAAATTTGGTGGTGAAAAAAATCCTCATTACTTTGATGTTTGAATGGCAGCGCACTAATCCCATCACTCAAGCTACTTTGTCACGTAGAATTGAATATCTAACTTAAGGATGTGAAGACATGATGACTGAAGGTGACTACAGTTCTGTTAAAAGTGTGTTCACTGCCAGTTGATATATTTTCAAACCATAAGTTTTCCATGGAAAAAATATAAGTAATTGTAACACATTTATTTTTTGACAGAAAAAAAAAATCCCTCTGTCTTCTGTTTTGAGGTATGTGATATGTTTCTGTGTTAGAATTTTCTCACATGCCAGAAAATGAGAATTAAAAATATTTTTAAACTAAAAATATTCAGAAGAAATGATGGGTTTAATTATCTCCCACTAAATTCTTCACTCCTCTTTTTCTTTCTTTTTAAGCAGCCTTGTTTTTAGTGATACATATTCATGTGATACCAACTAGAATTCTTGTATATACTCCTGAAAATATATGTATGTAATGAGCACTGCATCTCTGCTGAGGAACACTCAGTCTGTCCTTCACTTCTCATCTTTCCTGTAACAAGGCAGGGAATTAAAAATGCTTTCTTCCACAGCCTTTCTGTAGTTATACTAATAAGAACCAAGAGTCACATTTCATTTGCTGTGTCTTATTACTTCTATTTGCTTATAGCTCTTATAATGTGTCCTGTTATACTTTTCATATATATGTATATATGTGTCTCAAGAACTTGAGGAAGTGAGCATTATTATTACCCTGTTTTCCAGTTAGAATAGCATGTCCAGCTTCAGCCAGCAGTCCCACTTTAAAGCTGATGTTAAATCTCAGCATTTCTATGTCAGTTCTTATCCTCTGTTATAATCCCTTCTAGAAGTGACAAATTCTGTTCTTTCTCTTTGCTCCCTGGGTACAATAGTACCTTGGCTGCTAGTGAGCCAGCTCAAACCCTATTTATCCTTTCCTGACATGCACAAGTGACCTTTGACATAATGGAAACTCAACTTGGGACTAGCTCTGCTTCCAAAGGAAAAACTGCTAATATGACACATTCATACTGAAGACCTGCCTCTGCCAAGTAGCAAGGCCCTTGGATATCAGGAAGTAGATGATGGAGGTCTGGCCAATCTGCCACTCCTAGCCTCATCTTTGGAGTGTTATGCTAGAAGCTTTGGGAGCTCTTTTAAGCTGTCTTTGCCCACTGAAGTTCCTGGTCACTTAGAGAAGTGGATTTAAACAGAACATACCCAGGAAATATCCCTGTCTGATGACACTTTTTGCCATGTTAGAGATTTCCTCCTAGTTTTGGCCATGTGATTTCATTTTCTTGTGTCACAGCTTCTCTCTGACCATGCAGACATATTTTAAAAAGGCAGTGGTGGCCTGGGGTAGGAGAAAAAGAAGAGTTCTGTCTTTGTACTTTTACAGATCACAAACATATAAAACTCAAGGCTGATGCTGTAATTTATTTTGCGACTTTCATTGTAGGTTTTGTATCCTCTACCTGTATAAAATGAGTAAAATAAAAGAAGGGAAATTGCTTTTATTCTTCTTAGCCTTATGGTGTCAACTGGGTATTTCTACTAGATGTAAATACACTTTGGTTATATTGCCAATCCTACAGAAGAAGCTATGATAAGATATTGCAAATAGTTCTGCTTCCTTACTCTTAGATGATGTTAATGGAATTAACCAATACAACACTGATGCACATTTGACGAGAATAAGTCAGTTGAAATGAAGTGATTGTTGGACACCTAGAACATGTTTTACCATAAGGAGCTTGAATTATTTATTTATTTGTTTGTTTGTCAGGAATTTTAGCGTATCTCTCGATGCCTTGTGTATTGTAGACTGTAATGTGTTTCAGAGTAATATAACAAGTCTAAAATAGAAAAATATTACTAATACAATTCAAAGTTCTTAAGTTTATTAGTGAAGTTCATGCTGCAGCATGGGTGTTTTAATCTTGTTATAGCACAAATCTTAAATAATTTGGCAAGTGCTTAACATATCAGCTGTTAAGAAAGTTTTGGGCTTTTTTAGTGCTTAAAGACATAATGATCTGAGATTTTGTGGACAAGTTTCTGCCTCCTGGCACACACAGCATTACTAACTTCTAACAGGTGTGCTTTATTATCAGCTCTGTTCAAGGCTGAATTGAATTATAGGAAAGAAATGCTACCTAGAGAAATAGTTTTATTATCTCTATAAAGCTAATAAATCAGGGTTCTAAATCCTTTGGCAGAGATAGTTTTATGCATGTACTTAATCCTTTGGTGTTTTGTATAAATTGGCAAAGGAATGTTGAATCCTGCTTATCTCTTTAGGATGGATTCCATTAAAATGACACAATTCTGTGATACTTATCAATAGTTGTTGAGATGAAGATACTACTGACTCCCTTGGTTGCCATTTCATTTGCTGAACACTTGGAATTTTACAGTCATTTTATTTATTCAGATAATTTTAAATGGTATTCAGCAATCTTTATTGGTCTGTCATTGTTAAGAGAAGGAAATTTCACCTTATTTGAACATAGCATTGATTCACAAAATTTTTACTCCTACTTAGTGGAATATAGATCTTACCTTGTGATGAGGACTCTCTTTTTGGTCAGATACTTTCATTCTGTTCTGCTGCCCGGCTCAGGTCCTTGCTCTGTGTTTTTGGAAGATTAAAAGCTATGCAGATGAGTGTGAGAGCCACTTCCCCTACTACAAGAATCCTGTTCCAGGAAACAAAACATGTTCAGTGCTGTAGTCAGCAACACAGCACATCTGAAATGACAATACATGAGTAAGGCCTGGACCTCCTGCCTGAGCTTACTGTTGGGCCATGGCAGCAGTGTTTGTGGAATTTTTTAACAGATTGCTAACAGAATTAATAATTTACTCCCAGTGAGTTAGATCTTGCTTGAACCATCTTCAATCTCCACAAACTGATTTAAACAAGCCTGGTTTCTGTTTTTAAATCAGATAGCCTAAGAATAAAATTTATGCTGTACTACTGTTTAAATTTAAGTATGTAGATTCTGGTTCTCAGCTGATGTAAGAGAAAATAGGGCTATTACCGCCCATTTTTTTCAAGAACTTATAAAAATCTGGCCAGTAATTTTATGATATCTGGCCAGTGTTTTAAGTTTTCTTTTAGAGACTAGACTTGCATGTTTGAACTGCTTTTTCAAATAAAAATGTGCATTCCAGTCTCATCTCTTCCCTTGAATAGTGCAAAGGAACGTGTCAAAGTGGTTTGTGTGTCTGTATGTGTACATGCTCACATACATATGTGTGCGTGTGTGTGCATGGAAAAATATTTTTATATATATACATATATTTATTATATTAAAAAGGAGACAATTGTAAAACATTTTAAAAATCGTATATTCAGCTGGATTTTTAACCATGTAAAACATTTATATTTTGATATTTTATGGTATCTTGGAGACAAGAGTTTCCATAGCATTTTTCTTTCCTAAGTTTACTCGTTCTCCAATAAAACCATCAAGTTTCAGGTTCTTGTTCTTATTAGATTAGAATCAGTGAATGTTTCAACAAATCAAAACTTCACTTAAGCAAATCATGTTTGAAGTGTCTATGCAGTCCAAAGACAGATGGAATATCTCCAATTTTGTTCTGTGTCACTGCGTTTCCAAGAAGAGTATGTATATATCTGTCATATTGGGGTCTGTAGCAGATAGATAGCTAAAGAAACCCCTTCTTCACCCCCCAAATAGATAAATAGGTAATTAAATACTGTAATTGCTAAGGAGCCTGCGTATCCTCTACATTCTGGTTTTATTTCATAGCTAGGTTTTTTTTAATAAAAGGCTTTCTCCTCTCTAGTTAATTGAGGCTAGAGTATTTGCTACAGTCTGCATTTATATAGAATAGTTGTCTGTCATTTTATCTAAAATAGATCTGTTTGTGGCAGGATGCATTCTTACTACAGCTTCAACTTGCTAATCAACCTTGGATATTGCTGAGTGACACAGAAAGTGAAGGAGTGGAAGCTGACCAAGACAAATGTAAGTATATTTGTTAGGACCAGATAGTATGTCAAAACCCCTCAAACTTAACTTCTCTTTTCCATATCTTCAAATGCTGTGGAGATGTCGTGCCTGCTCAGGGCAATTTTTCTCGAAAGTACCAGTTGCTCATTTGTCTTAGGGCTGAACTTATAGGATTGATTTACAAAAGCTTTCCTATAGTCACCGAAAAATGACAAAATGATCACAGACCACAGTTTACTTAAGCTAAGTGAAACAATATCCCCTGATGTGTTAAAGTAGCTGTTCCAGAAGTAACATAAAGTTGAAATGGATACTCTGTTTAATAAATATATATTCACCAGATAAAAGAAACCATGTAAAAACCCCCTGCTCTGAAAAGTAGAGCCTCCCTCCTTAGGCCTGTAACTCCATTATCTCTATTTTATCTGTATTCTTTTTAATTCATCTGTATAGAAAAAAGAAAAATTCTTAATCATACAAGTAATCCTTAATATCGTACACTCTTTAAGCATTTACCTGATTGTGCAAGTGAAGGTCAGCAGGATCACAACCTAAATGACAGAACAAGTAACAACAAGTAACAGGCTATAAAGTGCAATATGTTCAAACTGTGGCAAGTTCTCTCTGCCTACAAGGTACCTGTAAATAATCTTACTGAAAACATTAACTGTTTCACATATTCTTTTTTAATTCACAGTAGTTTTGTGATCTGCTAAGGTGAATATGCAAACTATTTCCTAACATATTTTAGGTGATATACTTGAAAAGAACATATGATTTAATCAGCATGTTTGGAAAACTCAATACATTCAACTAAAACTGGCTCAAACATGATAGTTAACATATGAAAAAGACAAATTCTTCACAGAATAGAATAGTTCTGTAAGGGATTAATGATTAATAATAATCATGCCAGATAAGCAGAATGTATTTTTAAATTATGCCACTTAAAAAATATATACTGTATATAATATATACTCACATATCAGTTTCACAAATTCATACATAGTCCAGAGTTTGACTGGGAAATTTAGATTTACACAATGGGATACTTAAGAGCATGTCCCAGGTTTCTTGAATACACAATGTTAAAATGAGGTTCTGTGTGTCCAGCTGATTTTAGTCCAAAGGCAGTAAGTCCAGTTCGACTTGCAGCTGAGCCTTTCAGTTATCTTTGTGCTGAAGCTCACCTTAGGTGGCCCAAGGTAGACCCCAGTACCTGCCTTTTCTGTTCATGCGATTTTTCCTTGGTATTTTCTGTAATGAATTTACAATCCCACAAACACTGGTGGGACTTGCTGTGCACACAAACTGGTGCCAATTATGTGATCAGGGAGACTGATGCTTCAGGACATATCAGATACACAACATGGTTCTTTTATAGCTCCTATACTTGAATTGCGTGAATGTGAGGACTTCTGAGCACCCAAGATCCTGCACTATTATATTCCAAGAATCTTGGTAGGTCATTGTCACTGCCCAGTGTAACAAAGTGGTAAATTATAGATAAAAGTTTCAGTCCCACAACCAAATAATTAGAGATGATAGTTGCCTAACTAATAACAATTGTTTTTGCTGGATCTGATGGCACTGAGAAGAGAGAAGGGAAAGAAGGTAAGCTATAGTTTCTAACCAAAAGTTAAAGAATGCAGTTAAGGACATCATCCAAATGCCTCTTGAATGAACAGTGACGGACTCGGGGTATTGACCACCTCCCTAGGAAGCCTGTTCTAGTGTTTCACCAGTCTCCCAGTAAATAAATGCTTACTAATGTTCAATCTGAACCTCCCCTGGCAGAGCTTTGAGCCATTGCCATGTGTTCTGTTACTGGATAGCAGGAAGAGATTAGCACCTCCCTCTCCACTTCCTCTTTTTAGGAAGCTGTGAAGAGCAATGAGGTCACCCCTGAGCCTCCTTTTCTCCAAACTAAACAAACCCTAAGTCCTTAGCCACACCTCATAGGTCATTCCTTCCAGCCCTTTTGCCAGCTTTGTTGCCCTCCTCTGAAAACATTCAAGGACCTTCACGTCTTTCTTAAATTGCGGGGCCCAGAACTGCACACAGTGTTTCAGGTGAGGCTGCACCAATACTGAACACAGCGGGATAATCACCTCTTTTGAGTGGCTGGTGACGCTGTGTTTGATGGACTCCAGGACAGGGTTTGCCCTCTTGGCTTCAGGACACACTGCCAACTCCTACCAAGCCTGCTGCTGACCAGCATCCCCAGATCCCTTTCTGCAGGGATGCTCTCTAGCAACTCCTCTCCCAGTTTATACTTGTGCCTGCGATTAATCTGCCCTAGGTGCAGAATCTGGTATTTCAACTTGTTAAACTTCATGCCATTAATCACTGCCCAATGCTCCAATCTATCTAGATCCCTCTGCAAGGCCTCTTGTCTTTCAAGAGAGTCAGCAGCACCTCCCAGTTTGGTATCATCAGCAAACTTGATAATGGTGCATTCAACTCCTGCCTGCAGGTTGTTGATAAATATATTGAACAGAACTGGCCCTAAAATTGAGCCCTGAGGAACGCCACTGGTGTCTGGTCACCAGCCAGATGTAGCCCCATTCACTACAACCCTTTGAACTCTGCCCTTCAGCCAGTTCTTACCCAACATACCGTGAACCCCCTCATCCCACATCTGGACAAGTTGTCTGGAAGGATGCTGTGAGGGACAGTATCAGAAGCCTTACTAAAATCCAGAAAAACTGCATCCACCAAGTTTCATTCATCCACTGGGTGGGTGATCTTTTCATAGAAGGATATCAAATTAGTTGAACAGGACTTTCCCTTTGTGAACCCTTGTTGACTGCAGTTAACTGCAGTGTAATTAACTCATGCACCCTCTATAGGAGGTCACTGTTTCTACTAATATAACTAAAGGAATAAAACAAAAATCCTTTATCAAAGTAATACTTTCTGTATCTGAAATCTAATAATGATAACTGTTATTAAAAATAACTAATTGTGTTATCATCCCCATTTGAGATTATGTGTTAGTGCCATGGGCAAGAAAGTGCAGAACTGCCACCACTGACAAAGGAGAGGCTGCAAATTCCTGGTTGTAAAGTGCATTAAGTAAGGGGCTTGGTGTACTTAGTGATGCCAGTGCTTGTAGGTAGAGCAGCTGGCAAGATTACACATAATTTTTCACCCTAAAGTAATAAATCTATGTGAATGTTGTGTGTATGATTTAGTGTTGAAAGGGCCCAGGAGTTAATAATTTGTGATTTTGAGCAGAAGAGCTGCAAAATTAATCTTTACAATAGCAACACCTGTTCTTTGACTCAGCTTTTAATAAATTAGATGCGGATAATATTTATCACATTCTTTGATTACTTTGAGATAATAGCAGCCAGGTGTAAAACTAGTTTTTGGCAGTGGGAAATCTAACAATTCAAAAAGAAAAGCTGTTTGAGTCACCTTGAGTTCTTATAAATTAATACCTTCTGGTTAGTGTTCTACAAGAAAAAGAATGAAAAATGAGGGGGGAACAGTTTCAAATGTATTCAGATATAAGAGTATAGAGAGGCTATTTTCAAAGCAAGTGATAACTGAGCAGAACTGGGTCGCTTTGGCATCTCAACATCTCCCGACAAACATCATTTGTGAAACAGATACAACAGTGCATATCTTGTCTTATGGAAATGAGATCTAGGTTCTCAGTTCTTGTAAATCAGACTTTACATTTTAAATCCTCCAGGCTCTTTGACAGCATTTTAAATGTTTGTCGTTATCAGCAAGATCCAGTGATAACTGAAAGTCAATAATTTTTAAACCTGCATACCAGTTATAACAAAATTTGAAATCAAATAGGTACACATATAAAAGAGAAAAAATTATTCCATCTTAAAAGATTTGTTATGCTAAAGAAGGAAAGGAAAACATTTTCAAGAAGCATTATTGATTTTTTTAGCATACTCTCCCCTTTTCCTCTTTATGCACTTAAGTTTGTGGTCATAGGTCAGAGAAAGCGATAAATGTATAATTATTTTCTCTGTTAATGTAAATTTTGTTATTGAAAAATAGGAACTAACACATGCTTTTAAGAGCTATTAAAAATTTAGTGACTAAATCTCTTCTGCTTGCTAGATGTGTTCTCCTTTGAAACTCTCTACACACTGAGCGAAGAGAGGTGAAAATCACCAAGACAATATTATCCAAAATCAAGGACTTGTGGTTGTTTCTTAGAGTCGCTAAAAATTTCTGTAGACAGAGCCTCACGTGTGTTCTTCCTCAGCTGTCATTCTGAAGACAGTTTCCCATTACTATCTGCAGTAATTTGTTTGTGTGCTGATTCTCTGCAAAGAGGTTTCAGAGAATACATACAGATTATTCCTGTAAATAGGAGGGATCAGGAGGAAATATTTACCACTTGCACAGTCCTTCAGTTTGATAAAAGTTCTTGGAGTTGGCAAAAGTAATTTTCTTCTTTGTGGGATACTGATGCACAGAAACAGAAGAGCTGCATCTAACAACCACCAGAGCATGTCTTAGCCAACTTTTATGAGAAGAAATTTGGCCTTTCTGGAGGCTGTCAAGAGTCAACTTGTATTTCCCTTTAAAACAAGTCCTACAAATATTGCTGGTTGGAAATTCTTGAAGCATCACTAGCTTCCAAGACCCTTGAAAAGACAAAGACAGTTTTGGTGTAATTTAACCTACTATCTGTAGTCTTGGCAAGGGTTTGCTGCCCAAAAGCATAAGTCTGCTTTCTTGGGTGTCTATCTCAAGAAGTTACCACACAGCAGATTTCCCCAGGTCACACAGCCTTGGATGTAAAGGATCCCTCCCTCCAGTCAGTCCATTGAGCAGATGTACATGATAGGTGAATAACTCAGATTCTTGAAAAACTTGCTACTCAGTTAATCCATATTAAATATATGTATAATCATAGAATGTTAAGGGTTGAAAGGGACCTTAAAAATCACATGTGTATATAACATTCCTTTGTGCTAATCCACTTAAGGCATGTCATTTTCTATGGTCAATGACACACAAAGTCGTGTGGCTACTACCACTTCACTCGAATTTCAACTTGCCAACAGGAGCACTAGATGCTCATTTCCAGCTCGGCTGATCTGGGACAAGGCTTGAACCCTCACCTGCATAAATTTAAATGTTTTGTGGCTATACATCTGCAAATTCTTTTCTAAGGTTCACAGTGAAAAGTCTACTGCTAATAAATCAAAGGATTGTTGGGAAAAAGTGTCGTTTCCACTTCATTCATTCTGCACTGGTCTTGAAACTCTGCAGTCAAAGAGTCTGCTGATGACTTCAACAGGTATTGAATAAAACATTCACTTTCCCATTCTGCACAAATGTCCATCTAGCAGAAAGATCCAAAGAAGGAAAGACAGGTTTTTTTTGCAGAATGAAGAAATTCAGACTGTGTTCCAGTAAATTTCCAAACCATGCAGTATTTGTCCATGAGTAAATTCCTTACACTGAGCAAATTCACATGCCTTAACAGTCAGTTTTTCTTAATTATGAAAGTAAGTGTTCCTAAGATTTGGAAAAATGCTTAATCGGAGTTAATAATAGCAAGGAGTTTACTGCTGTAGTATGTTTTTGCTGTGAAAGTTTGCTTTTGCTAGAGTCAGGTGATATGCAGTATGAGTAACAATGACAGAATCAGGCTTAGAGTAGCAACTTAATTGCCAACTTTATGACATTCCATTCCATTCCATTTCTGTCAGTCAAATTCAGCTATTTATATTTGTGTTCTGCTCTGATGGAGTATAGCTGTACTAGAAACATCTCTTGCAGTGGGTTTAAGTTTAGAATAACGCTAGATGTGGTTTCTCTAGGGAGCCATGAGGCATGGCTCAAACATATTGGTCAATTATGTGTCTGGTTACTAAGAACATAATTGTTGTGTTTGGAATTTTTTCTCAGTGAATAATAAATTCATTTTTTTTGTCCAGAGGGGAATCTTTCCCAAAAGTAAACTTCTGGGAGACTTTAATTCCAGATTCAAGAATCTCCTGAAGAAATGTATTGGTATCTTTCTTTCATTTAGTATTTCAAGAGTGGTAATACAAACTGGAGTAAAAAAAGTCATATCTTGCCATTCCACTTACCCTTTCCAAGGGTGTCATAAAGCTTTTGTCTACTTGGAGTGTGAGTTATTTTGCAAATTTCTTCAGCATGCACTTATGTATGTTAAAGAAGATACCTTGCCTCTCATTCTGCTTGCCAGTGGCTTGGCTAGGTATTTAGCTTGAGACAGTTCTATGTGTACTTCAGAAATGGGATACCAGAAAGGATTGTGCTCCTGTAAACAGAATTTATCCTATTGGATTGTCTTGGCTGGATGTCTTGTAACACCCATGGCTGAAGCTGCAACATTTCATATAACTGCTCTTTGAGTCTAAAAATAAACAAAACCAATCTTCTATCATGGAAACCTGGCCACTTGGATTTAATTATTTGTAGATAGTGAAACAAGAGTAGAGATTGACATTATTTCTACCAGAAGTCAAATGGCTGTTGGAAAGGCTAGGGAAAGTTGGAATTAGACTTAAGTTTCCTATTTTTTGAATGGATGTGCTTAAATCCAAAGCTACCATTATCTTCTTATACTGTTAAGGCTTTAGCACATGTCACTTTATTTATACTAAGTAATTTTTGGTTTTATTTTGGAAAAGTTCACATTGGACTAAATATTTGGGAGGAGGAGGGAATTTTCCATTGGAGTGAGGAAAAAATAATTCTCAAAATCTGTTTCAGTGCAGAAAGCTTTTTCAGTACAACTTCCAAACCTACAGATATCTTTTTCTACAACTTGCATTATTATACTAAACTTGGACTCCCAAAGACATTTAATGTAATAAAAAATGACACTGTAATTTAAAAAATGGCATAGAGAATTATCAGGGCACACATTAGGTAAATTAAAAGCTGGCTCAATGAGGAATCAAAAACTAGAGTTTTAATGGGAAGATGTAGATGAATGGGGCTCATTAGGGTCTGATAGGTCTGGATAATTGTTGGGAAGGACAAGTTGAAGTTATTAAATGATATTAATCCCCTGGTATAATGGCCAAATTCCAGTAAAATGCACTTTATTATAACCAGATGAAGTATATTTGAAGGAAATGAAATATATCTGGCACCAGAGAAACATATCTGTCTCTGCTGCAGAATAATGGGCCTTTGTCCTGGAAAGCAGTGACCTAATGGATTTAGGATGATCATAGAAGATCATCTCAGTGTGAGCTCTCAGCATAATGCTGTCACAAAGAAGGGCATTCCATTTCTTGAACACTTAAAAAGTTAAGGAGCAAAGTAATTATTCCACATCATATCTGTAAAAAGCTGTGTGTTTGGTGTCTTGCCATTAAGACAGATTGGAATTACTTGAGAGATTTCAGAGGATGATTAAAAATGACCCAGGCTTTGGGAAACCCTGTTAGAAGTTTGCCTCACATAAAGGCATTCAGCCAGGAACCTCAGAGATGACTTGGTATCTGTAGGTAGACTTTTAAATAAAAAAGACTCAACTCATCAAACTGTGATGAAGGAAATTAAATTCTCTGTCCTAGCAATCAGGAGCCTTAAGCATTGTAAGCAAAAGTTAAGGGAGGCAATGAATTTGAAGCCATTAAAAAAACTAGGTGATTGGGCTTTCTAAATGACAAATTATAGACAATCCAGGGGAAGATTCTGTGGGCTCTGTAGAGGTGTATGGGAGGTCAAGCTAGATGGACACATTTCTGTGATTTTTATTCTAAGATTTATTTTAGTGATTTTAAACAGCAAAACTCCCCCTACCCAGTTGTTTTTATTATCATAACTTAGTCCCTGGGATATAAAAATCAATTATTTGAGAAGGCAGGATGCCTCTGGGTAAAGTAATGGCAGTCCTTAGTGATTCAAAAATATGCACCTGGGAAATATGAGATATGAAAATTTGGATTAATACTGACCATAACAAAGATACTGGTGAAATACGGTTAAACTTTACTGTGCTCTAGATAGTAGTAGAAGTCAGTAGATTTCAGAGCACAAATGTGTTTGTGGTAATTTTATCTGTATTAAAAGTCGATAGATGTGATAGCAATGATAAATATTTTACTGGTGTTTTTAATTAAAAAAACATTTGCAACTGGAGTTCTAAGCTTTTTTGAAATTCCACAGAGTTTTATGTCTTCTATAAACCACTCTGGATAGATATATGTAGAAGTTCAACAGACAATCATCCTTGCTTATCACTAAAAAAACTGTACTAAGCTTTATTAGAAATTTTTTCAAAACTAAGAATATAAATATATATTTATTTACATATGTCACAATAAAAATACTCCACTGGCGGTATAGTGAAACAACAGGCTCTAAATATTGATGCAAAAACTTCTATTTGAAACACAAATTTTAGTGTGTGTGTTGAAAGACAGGTTGTTTAATATTGTGCTGTTAAAAGATCAGCCTAAAGGACATAATAAAAAATAATAAACTTTTAGGAAAGTAAAACTCTAATATTAAAGAATTTCATGGAATAAATAAACGAAAGCTTCTACTGACTAGTCACTGACAACCAGTTAACCAGCTCGCCATTGTAGCAATTTCTTGCCATTATAGCAAAGAAATGTAACTTTTTGAGAATGCAGCCTAATTTATTGCATATTGATGAAGGAACTTTAATTAAACACTTGATTTGGTTTTGATACTTTTCACTCAATTTGTTTGAATGCAAATAACTCCATGAAGTACAAGACCCAGGGTACAGCCAGCAGGGAGTACATCCTTTTGCATCAAATAAGGCCTTGAAACTCTTTTGGCTCCATAACTGACTGATGCAGCAGAAGAGCCAGATTGTGGCAGAAAACAGAAAAAATATGGAATGCTTGACTATAATTCTAGGGTGTAAAAATGACCAGGAAGTGAAACATCTATAAAAGAAATCTGTTTTCTCTGTTTTGCCCAGTATTCTCCAAGCTTCTTATCATCCTATTGACGTAAATGTGTTTTACAAGGCAAAGATTTATTCTAAGTCAAAAGTGTAGAAACTCCTCTTTATCATGAGAGGAAGGATTTCAAATTCAAGTAAGAAAAGCTCTTTAATGGAAAAAGTTAAGATTTTTTGACTGTTCTTGACCCTGTCAGAGGGAAAAATCCATGAATTTGGAGATCGGAGGAGAGGGAGAAGAGAGGAGGGTTGATTCTTCATATGTGACTTCTGTTCATTTTGTTTAAATCTTCTTTGGCAATGCATAGTGCCAGTGTGAGTGTTACAGCAAGATCTGGGCAAAGCTAGTTTTCTCTGTGTCTTAGTTTCCTGATCTCTGAAGTGGAATGATAAAATGTGATAACTGACAGGAGACCTATGAAAAATCACCAGTTAATGTTCCTAAAATGTGTCGTGAGTCTCATCCCCAGTTCTAATATCCGTCTGTATTTCTTTCTGTTGTGATTTCACTAAATTTAAAATGGTTGTAGTTTTTAAGTTGTCTTCCCCAAGTCAGTCAGTGGTGGCTTCTAACTTGTATTAAGTGCTTTTAAAACTACTGTTATTTCCTTTTATATTGGAGAAATCAGCATGTCAGGGTATGACTCATCATTTGTTCTCTGAAGTAAAGAGAGAAAAAAGGCACCTCAGAGGACAACTAGAGATCTGTCTTACTGGGGGGCTGAGATGGGTGCACTGAATCCCATCAACTCTTCAGGCTGCCCTTCGACTCTTGCATCTCCCCTTTGGTGTTTTTCTGTCTCATGACAGCTGAAAGTTGATTCGATCTTGCTAATATATTTTCTCATCAGTCAAGAATTCCATGATGGATATGGGGTAGCATGCAATATATTTTCTGGCTGGCATTCCATTTCCTTCTAGAGTTAGGAGGGCCAGTCCTTGGATTTTCTATGGGTAATCACAAGAAGAATCTGCAAACGAAGCAGGCTTACATATATTTGCACATCTTTACTCCACCATAAGACAAGTTTGTTACTTAAAGATCAAACTGTGACAGAGCTTGAATATCTGCTAAATGAAGCACCTCCAAGGAAAACAGATGTTAAACACTAGGTATAAATGACTCCAAAAAAATCATATCAAATTAATAAAGGATAAGAAATGTTGATAAGATTTCCTGGGCTTTATTTCTTGTTGGTTTTGTTATTGTTGCTGTTGTTGCAGAGATTTTCATGGTATGTACCTTGCTTTGTTGAATATAAGTACAGTATCACATATAAAGTCCAGGCTTATCACCTGACAAAGTGAAATTTATTCCAATTGTATTTACTTAATTAGCTGGAGATAATGGGAATAGTTTTTTCCTGCCAAGTTTGTTTAATCTCCCAAAGAGGGCTTGCATATTTATATGTTCAAAAGGAGTGAATAAATGTGAAGCTGCTGTGCCTGATTTCCTTCAGTGGTAAAAAAAGGCAAGGTGAAGGCTTCTAAGGTAAAATACAGACCTTTATGCATTCAGCTGTGTCATTAAATGTGGTTGTGGTGTTTATTTCCAGTTTATAACCCTGATTCTGTAACTGGATTTATGTAATAGGTCCAGTTACAGCATTACATCTTTTACAAACACAGGAGGGGGCAGGTTGTGTTACAGTCAGCAACATTTGCAAAACAATCCATTTCAATATGCATATGTAAATATTTGTAAAAGCTAAATTTCTATTTTGCTTCAGGGAAGTTTTTCAACCTGAACGTTTCTGTCTCAGCTTATCTGATTCATCACAGTTTCATATTATGTTCAATGCTTTTTGAAAGAACAGTTATTTTTGCAATCTATTACTGCTATTGAAAAAGAACCAGCAGAAAAAACCTTCAAAACACTGAATAATTGGAACAAATAATATAACTAAAGAAGCTGTTATTTACTTCTGAATATTTTAGAAATAAAAAAGAATTCATCAACATACTGATCCATCTTGCTTATTTAACTGTGAATTCAGCATAATGGAGAACTTTTACAAAATGTGAACACAATGAAGGTTTAATTTTCCCTTTTATCCTATTTTTGTGTATATTAATTTTAGCCCTAATTTCTGTGGGTTTCTGTTTGATTTCACTGGTTTGTGAAATCAGTGGGATTATTGAAGAACAATTTAATTAAAACAAAATTATGATCAAAACTACACCTGAAAATTTGCTTTAGTTTATATACATATTGATTTTAATGAAAGTTATTTTTCTAGTGTCAGCAGTACATGTATAGAAGTGCTCTGATATGTGGATGCTGTAATGCACTGAATCAGAGTATTTACTGTGGTACTGTGGCCTTAGGAAAGAAGGGTAACTGTCACCTTTTAGTTTTTATAAAGTTACTATAATGTTTTGTTTAGTTTATACCCCAGTTATTTTGGATTGCCATTTGATAAACTAAACTCTGCCTGACCAAAATAAACTTTGCCTAAAGATTTTATGTATTTTAACTTGTCTAAGGTTTTCTACTCCTTATATTTTTGTAATCTTTACTCTTTTTTATATTAATAAACATTAAAGTATTTGCTTGCATCTGCCAATATGTATGTCCCATTCAGGTCTCACAGAGAACTAGCTGTTCACTCATAGTCACCTGCAGAGAGGTCAGAAGGGGGAGTGAGTGAAAGGGTGTGGGTGTGTGTGTGGGTAGCAGAAACAGGTGCTGCTCATGCCACATAGCTTTGTATTGAATTTATCCACTTTGATCTCTAAAACAAATAAATACTCTGTTAAAAAAGGGAACACAACAATAAGAAACGGCACATGCATGCAAAAATAAAGCACCTAAAGGAATTTCATATATTATGATAAAGTGTTGGTTATCCATATGGATTACTGAAACAAATTTGCTGTTTAAAATATCCTAATTGGTGTGTGTTGTGTGCTTGGAACTTTAGAAGATGCTTTTGCACAGTCATCAAATGAGGGGATGTGGCAGTTGCATTTACTGATTTCATTTACCTATTAATTCGGTCAAGAGTGTTCTCAATTTTCTTTATCTTCAATTATGTATGCTTGGTTCCTGTATCTTAGACAGAATGATATAATAAAATTGCTTGCAACTATTAAAAAATACAGTATTACAAAGCATCTGTTTGTTTAAGAAATAAAAATTAATTTTCTGTCATGAGTGTTTGATAGTGTGAACTTTTTTGTGCTGTCTCACAAACATACAGTGCTAAATACACAGAAGGTGTGTCATCTGTGTTAGTCATAAGCAAGTAAAATGGAAGTTAGCATTGTGATGAACAAGTACTTGATATATGTGTCATCACAGTGTAGAGTTCCTATATGTGAAATGAAATACTGAAACCCCAATGAGAATGGTCCCTTTAAGTTCTTTTCAGGAAGGGGCTTCAATTTGTCATTAGTAAAGAAAATCTGCTATGCTGTGTGTGTTTGCAATATACTTGAAGACTCATTTGATAGAGGAGGGCATGATGTCATTGATAGGCAGTATTTAGTCAGTTGTGCTCAGAAAAGCATTCTTGTGAAACTAATATCTCCTCTTCACGGGTTTTATTTATTCTTCCTTAGTGGCCCACTTTTTGTATTTTACCTTGTCTGTACTGAAAAATGTAAAGTAGGTTTGTCTTTTTTTCTTCTTTCGGTTGCTTCACTGAACATCTCTTAAGCTCCATTCTTTCTGCTTCATGTCATTTCTGGGTGAAATCATGACCATATTTAATCCCTGGGAAAAATCTCATTGACTTCAGGAGAACCAAGATTGCTCACAACAAGTGAAAAAATTGGAATTCAGCAGCCTCTTAATTCTAGAAGTTCTTGCATATATAAGAACTTGAAAACAGTTTTGGCTCAGTAGTGCAGAGATGTTTGGTTAGGGGCATGTCTGGTTCAATATTTGGATTACATGTGAAGAAATACAAGACGGGCTTTATTGAGGAAGACAGAATATCAATCCTGCTCCTGTCTTCAGAGGAAAAAAAGCTTTTCTGTTACAGATATAGTGGGTACCATCAACACTTGTTAGAGTTACGAACAATTTAGCAAATGCTAAGTATATGCAAGTATCTCAAAATGTGGTAGGATGGTTTGACTCTTGGGTGGTCATAGTTGTAAAGGCTGTGAAGCTTTGGGCTCCTGAGAGCTGGCTGCTCTTGGGATTGACCAAAACAATGGTATTTTTCTGGGACACTTTCTAAGCTGAATGGTAGAGGATAAAACCATGGAAAATAAGGTTTTATTTTTACACTAAAGCATACAGAAAATCCCATGTGATTTTTTTTTGGTTGTTTTAGTTCTCATAATTTTTACATGATCTCATGATTTTTTAACACTCGTGGTTGACAATACTCCCTCTAAAGCATATGGCAAAAAATTTCAGCTGATACTAGCGCTCAGCCCAGCAGCCAGTGCTGGCACTGTAGAGGAGAAGCAACCACCTGGTACCCTGACTGCACACAAGCTGGCAATGAAGCTGGCAAGGAAAAGTCCAAGGAGAAGCTGAGATGCGCTTAATAGGCAACGAGCAGCTGGGCTTGGGGAGCATAAACAGCAGCTGGGAAGGCCATGAAGAAGGCATTTGTGATAAACTTGTTTTCACCTCTGAGCTGTGGTAAGCCTTACTCATTTTCTCTTTGACCTTTTTGGCTTCAGAAAGCAGTTTCAATTTGTCACTGGAACAAACTCTGCCTCCATGGTACCTAATTGAATTGAGAGTCAGCTGTGGATGTTCTTGTTGATGATGCTATAGTTAGTTTGGCAAGAATGTCAAGGTGGAGGTATTTTGCTTTTGACTCTGCACCAGGCACTTCAAAGTCATCGAAAAAGCTCAGTGTAAAGCTGCATAGAAAAGTGCTGCTGTCTAGTATTTTTCAGAAAGATACTTTATGAGTCATTGCTGATGCTATTCAGTTACTGCATTTTGATGGAAAAAGAGTCATGAGAAACATATAAATTTTTCCTAGCCATATGTTTGCACCTTAATTTTTTAAAGGCTTTATGAACCCAATAATATAGGGATGCAGTATTCTAAATAGTACTTGTTAGTGAAAAAATATAGAAACATATCTCAGTATATAAAAATTCCTGTAGCTTGTCTAATAAGCAGCTGTTTTTCTTTCAAAGTCCAATTTATAATAAAATAGGTTTTATGGCCATATGTGTTACTGCTGCTTCCTTTTAAGACCTTCACACCCTTAATACTTTATCTGGATAATCTTAAAAACAGCCTTAATGTGTCTGTATTCACTTCAGTAACACAATAATATTAATAAGTTTCCTTCTATACTGCTCATATCAAGTAACTTCATCATTTGGCAGATTTTATAGAGTGACTTCTCTCTAACCCAGTGTCTAGCTCTAGGATTTGTAGCTGTGACTAAGGGAGAAACAGGGAAGAAGTTTTACTTGCATTAAAATGAAACAATTTCTTTTGAATATTATCCAATTGAAGATTTCTCTGAGCAAATCCTTATCTTGAAAACTTTAGCAATAATTCAAAAACATATAACAAACAGACACACTGTGTATTAACGAAAGCTTCTGGTCCTGTGGGAATATGTTTCCTAAAAATATGGCCTTATTCACAGTTCAGGTCCCTTTCTTCTGAGTCAGCACTTTAAAAAGCAGGAGAGGAACTCATTTCTGACTTCCT